AGAAAAGGTTGGTTCAGCTGAAACAGCCGCATATCGTGAGAGCAATGCGTATAAAATTTTTTTTTAATCTCCAATCAGTACTATGGGTCCAGTAAACTCAAACATTTTCTTCAATTACGTTGTGAAAAATCGTTTATAACAAATGAGGTTTTACAACCTCACGTAATTTTAAGTCATAATCCTTGGATTTTGATCTTCCAGATGAAAAAAGAAATCATTTAATTATAATACGTTAACTTTAAACGAAGAATTATTAACATTAGTTAATATTAATTTAAAATTCAAGACCTTCCAGTTAAGGAAATTTCGAACTAAATACCAATTAGAGTTAACGTTAAATTAATTTCGTCTCGACACAAAATAACTCGTTTCCTCGTATACACTTTTCATTCTACATAAGGAACGAGGAAAAATAAGCCCCTATATAAATAATAGTTTCTAAATAGTTCATTCTAATGATTCACATCACGATGATTCATAGTGATAAATCCGCGGCAGTGGAGGCTGTTTGTCCGCAGCTCGCGTTTACAATCGAATTACGAGAGACAATGTAACGAGGACAATGCGTCCCTTCTTATTTTGCGCGGATCGTTAAATCGTAACGGCTTTCCGCACTGTCACGACGTTTACGGCTAAATTTACGCGACGGTATTGGATTACCGTGTTAATTAATGACACTGTAAAAAAATGCGCAGCGCAGCAACGCCGACATTCGCTCCGGTAATTCGCTTTTACTCGCTCTATTATCCGCAATTTATTAAGTGCCCGGAACGTAGTCGCGTATGAAATTTTTACGTGTGTTTATAACGTCGATAATCGAAATTCAAAGCACCGGATCAAAAGGCCGTGATATTGCCATTCTTGTTGTGCGAAAGTTTATCGGCTCGTAAAAGAAGTTCGACGAACGGCAATACGCGCGACTTTGCAATTGCCATGAATTCCGGATAGGTGTAGAAAAAAGGAATGTAGGCTAATGAGAGTTAGAGGCGCCGTTTCGCAACTTTCCGTTCGCGCAATTTAATTACGGCCACGTGGAAGAAATTAATGAAGTAAATAACCGCCGGTTTCATACATTATTCAGACGAGTTACGAACACCTCGCACGCCCGATTTACGAACTTTTCTGCTCCCCCCCCCCTCCCCTCCTTCCCTCCCGTTCCCACCCAGAAAAGTTCTCACGACTGCATACATCGTTGAACTCGGCGATCGGTTTACCACCTGGACGAGATGCCATGCACCGACCACCCACGCAAATCGCTCCGAAATTTCGAGCGCACGGGAAGAAAACACGAAACTCCACTCGGTATATTCTCGAACTTTCGATTGTCCGCGAGAGTACGAAATTGTCCAAGATGAGATGAGTTCTCTCTTATCGAGATGAGTTTAATGTTTTTTTCACATTTCGTCTTTTCAACACTCTGATAGCATTTTCGATTAAAAATACAAATTTCAACACTGATGCAATTGAGTGTAAATCGATTTACATACTTTTAGGGTCGATAAATAAATTAATCTTTTTGAAGTTATGTTGTGGTTAATTGTGACAATGAAAAGTATGTAATTAAAAAGGTTAAATTATTTGTTAACGCTGAAAGTATGTAAATTAATCTGTTATATAGTAGAGAGCGCCTTAAGGATCGGTCAAAGTTGGAAGTTCCGAATAATATTAATAATATTCTAAGTTCATGAATTTAATTAATCTCAAATGTAAATCAACTGTGCGCCGAAACGTTCGGACATTAAGACACAATCGATCTGAGATGCATAATCTGAGAGATCTGAGATGAATAATCGCGAGCCGAAACATTTCGACAATCACGAGTATATATAATCCCCCCTTATTTCAAATAAGAAACTTTTATTGCGAAAAATATTACCTCAGCGAGAATTCGAACCTGGGACCTCTCTCGACTTACCGGAGTGTCTTAGCCAGCTCGATCACTGAGGCTTTAGAAATATTCTTTGCAATAACTGACATGTAGTGAATTAATCCGCACTCATAGTTTTCCACTGGAAAACCTAGTGCAATACTGATGCAATTAAGTGTAAATCGGCTTACACATTTTCAGTTAATAAATAATTGATTCTTTCTAAGATTACGAAGTTCATCTAACAATGAAAAATATAATAAAGAATTAAAAGGATTAAATTATTTATTAATAGCGAAAAATATGTGAATCAATTTACATCAATTGCATTCAGTGCGCGCCACTATTGCACTAATTTCCCCAGTGGAAAACATTATGAATCTTTCATTTTCTCAAATCATCCGTGTCAAGATGAACCGCTGAGGACATTACGGTGTACAAATTTGGGGCATTACTGGACATTACTTAGAGAATTGTGTATTATAATAAGCGGTTATGCATTACTAGGGCATAAAATTTGAGCATTACTTATTTGGGCATTACTAGGCATTGATGTACACAATTTTGGTCAGCGATTTATCCCTTGGAGACCGTGTTTTTAATTTATTACTACTCAATTTACTGTTGCTGAATTTTCTCAATTTATTATTACAATAACACTCGACATAATTAATGAATTGATTAATGAATAATAAATTTGCATTGATTAATGAATAAAATCAAATATATAAATAAGAGACAAACGTGGAAAATTGGCGAAACAAACAGATTTAGTCACTTTGATACAAAAACATTGGATTTGCAATCATCGCTGAGTTCATGTTAGATATGGAAGGTTTAAATGACGTTGAAGTGAACAAGTATCGCTGAGTGGGCAGGTCCACCGATCATATCGAACCATGAATCTGATGCGGAAAAAAAAATCGAGCTACGTGACGTATGACAGGAGTGTCACTCGAAAACATAATCGATTTTTCTACAGCCCTCTAAAAAATTGTGCAAGCGACAGTTCTAATAATGAAGTTGGCGTAAAATTTTGAAAATATTTACAACATATATAAGTTGCAAGAAATACAAAAAAAAATGGCGATAAACGGATTAAGATACATATGGATTTCATCTTCCCATGCTATTTCAGTAATAAAATAACTTATTCGATCTTTTTAAACTTTTATCCCTTTTTAAAGACTTATTTTATTCGCATCGTTATTTAATTCGTTAAAATTAAAATTTGATATATGCAGAGAGAATGTCGAAAAAATATATCACCATACCTGACATTCCCGACGATTTTGACAGTAACATTTATGAACGCTTTTTATCTCGCTAGAAAAATCATCAACGCCATTGTATTAAACGTCGATCACATTGTTAGTTTAATTCAATGACTCACGCAAAAACTTTTTGCTTTCGTCGCATTTTTAGTATTAAACATTTGCGACAGAAATAGTACGCAGTGTGAAAAAAAAGCAAAAACGCCAAATGAGAAAATCGAGAAGACTTATAATTAGTTATCGCAAACGATCCTCTCAATATTGCAAATCAAAAATGCGTAATAATGCCTTTATGTGAGTAATTTAATTTTCCATGTAAAAAGAACTATATTACGTGTTTAATAATGTTACGTAAATTTATTTTTATATGCACGGAAGAGGAACGGTTTTGTTGAAGTACATTGTTAGATATTAATGAAGCAATGACAGTCTCTTGAGTTAAATATTTTGTTATTTTTAATAACAACTTGATGTGTGTCAAAGTAAAAATCGATCCATTCTGTGCTTGGTTTCGAAGTAAATAACATCTATATTAAGTATTTGTTAGAAAATAATGAATTGAATTTGAGTCTCTCTCTCCTTTTCTCTCTCTCTTTCTCAAATTTAATAATATCTTTGAGTTAAATAATTTAATTCAAATATTATTAAATTTGAATTCATATATTGTTTTATTAACAATATATTGGAAACAGAGTTAAAAATGGCGACTTAAAAATGATTAAAAATAAAAATAATTCAAATTGAGTATAATTTGAGATCATAAATTTAATATTGTATCTAAATATTTAGTTACATATAAAAAAAAATTAAAAATAAAACAATGTAATTGGAACAATGTCAAAACTTTTTGCAGCTTTGCGCTTATCATGTTTGAATTTTCTTTCTAATTATTTTGATGGCACACAACAAAAATATTTTCAGAC